TTTTCGCGAGTGCAGTGTGCCGGGATGGAAGCCGGGCCGGTGTAAGGGGTTGGAGGGTTGAGATTGAAATGGAGACTGTGTTTCTCGTGAGAGGAAGTGGAGAAAGTGGAAGAAAATGACGTAGAGATAAAACGGGAAACAGAGTAGTTGGAGGAGAGGAGGAAGGACGCGAAGGAGAGGAGTGAAAAAGACATGGATCGACCGTGGAGTAAGAGGAGAGATGTAGGAGAGAATCCTGAAAAAGGGAGAAAATAAAGGAAAGGAAAGGAGGAAGAAGCGCCACCCCGCGGGTACCTGGAGAAAGAAGATTGGAACGTTACCAAATAGAATTGGATAAAAGTTTTGAAGGAGACCAAGGGATTCTGATGTACGTATTATATACTACATTCGTGATAACTCGGAAGACGTTGTATAGCCACATATACACTGTGACTCTCATGCTGGAATTTCGAATTAACCTTTTTCGCATATACTCCGTTCAATTAAATTCACGGGCTAGACAGGAATGAGCTCTAGTAGCGATGATGCTGATTAGACAGGATCGTTAGGGTACCACTGATTTCGTAACCTCGATATACCGTGATTCCAATTGCGATTCAAGAAGCGTCTGTCCTACTAGAAGCTCTGACGGTCCGAGAAGGACAGCGAGTGGTGTGAAATGGAATTAATTATGAGGACGTCTCAACAGGTGGGTGTAAGGCGTCTTTAACTCGACTCGCCTCTACCTCCAGCATCGCCGCCATCGACCCTGCTCCAACCATCATCCTCCTTCGTTCTGCCGCCACGCTTACCAGCCAGACCATCCTCAAGTAATTTACTAAGAAAATAAATAGAGGGCGAATATTCAGCGAGAGAGAGAGAGAGAGAGAGAGAGAGAGAGAGAGAGAGAGAGATGACGCGGGGATGAGAAGGTAACCTTGAAAAATGGAACGTTTAACGAGCAGTAGAAATCAGCTGGGTGGTTGATGAAGTCTTACGACGATTTCAATAATCCTGACGTCACAATACCACGTGGGATGGAAAAGACTACAATTTTGATAATTTTGATAAAAGATAAAGAGAGATGATTGATAAACCATTTGGGACAAATTGGTAATTTTGACATAATTGAGACGAATTTAAAAAAAATAAATATTTATGTCGCCCTTGAAATATGAGATGTTTAAACGTACAGTTGAGATTGGACTCGTGGTCGATGATCCATGACGACTGTATTGATGACCTTAAAATGTTAATGACGCAAGTACACATAGAACTGAAGCTAAGCAGAATGGGAGAGACAGTCTGAAAAGAATTTGGAATGATACTTTCAGCCACGAGAATAGGCAATAACATTTTGTAACGGGCCCAGGAGCTGTACGGGGGGTCGGGGAACCTCTCGACCTACGACCTCTCGATGCCGATTGATTAATTGACTTTTAAAGTTTATTTGTATCCCCCCATTGGTATTGTATGCTTCGACCCCCGGTACATAGCCCTGGAACTGCAGGTAAAGTCGCAACTGACTATTGTGCATTTACAAAAGAGATGCTCGTTTGAGATTTATTGGCCAGCCAAAACACGTGCATTCACGAGATTACCGATTGGAACTAGTAGGTAATGTACTGGAGAGTCGACTGAAGAACTCGATAAATTGGACATTTTATGGGATATGGTGACACGCAGAACCAGGGTGTCTCGGATGCTCATAAATGGACGTTACCCATTGAAATTCTATATACAGATATTTATTCTACATGTAAGACTCGCGAGACGGAATATTTAATATTGATATTAAAATTCGGTGCAGGAGAAAGTTATCGATAATGATAAAAAACAAGCCAAGAGTTAATTGGATACTGTAATTAGGTGCTGTTCTGGCATAATTACAGTTTAAAAAAAAAAGTTTCATTACAGGATCACATCGGATTGATAAAATTGATAAGGATAATTCCAATTTAATTATTAGCGGCATATTTACAAGAAATACTTTCGACCTTCATTCTATTGAAGATACTAAATATTCTATACGATTTGACACAATGGTAAATGACTAACAAGTGTGTTACAAATTTTTTTTTTTCATAAGGCTAAAAAGGAGTATCGATTTCAAGCTCTTCGTAAAAACCGCATGGGGCTAAACAGAGATAATGAAAAAGAATAGGTATAAAATAGCAAGGGCAAGCAGAGAGAGAGAGAGAGAGAGAGAAAAGGCAGAATAACTAGAAGAGGGTGAAATCGACATTCGATATCCACTTTTCTAACCCCTGTGCTACGGCGTACGTCCCTTAGGAAGTAGGAAGTAGAAAATAAAGAAAGAAAGGAATCGATCGTTCCCGATGCTCATTCGCAGTCTGTGCCGTAAGAAGGAGCATCCAGAAGTCTTAACCATAGTCCTTGCTAAGGATCAGGAGGAAAACACCTGGTCCGAAGGATCCTGACTCCCGTCATGCATTTATGCAGATTTATGCTGACTGCTCGAGAGGCAAGCATCGCAGTGCCTTGTGAAGCTCCAACCCTTTCCCACGTTCGTAAGGACCTCGCGTATACCTGTAAAAAAATATTTGAGACTCGAGGGGACCAAAATATCCTGCAAGGGAGAAAACGAAATCCGAACGTCACACGTAGTTGTCCTAAGTAACAACTATAGACCGTTGTGATTAGACGCATGAAGAAATTCGAAATATTCCATTCGAATATCCAACATCCTACATACATAACGACTAGGGCATATTTAACTGATTAGAAAATTTATAATATTTCCCTAACGATATCGTCACGATAACGATACCGACGATGGCTTCCTGAGAGAAAATGGCACCGATCAATCATCCACGTGTCATAGGCAGATCCAGAGACCCTTCATCCCACCCACCATGTACCCCGCTAGTTTTCCAAGCAGGCACCGGTGTCATCAGATTCTCCTGCTGGCGCCATCAAAATTTTTTCTCTTATCCACGCGGGAGGGATCCATCTATCACTATGCTTTGGAACCGAGAAAAAAGTCCATCCAACTATGGATGGATGGATGGATGGGTGGATGGGTGGATGGGTAGTTGGATGGATTGGTAGGAAACTTAAATAATTCCTTAATAGCCGGCACGACCCGTGAGAATTTCATGAAGAAGTCCAGTATCCGTATCATCCTTACTAAAATTCCCAATTTGAATAAGAACCCCAAAGAACAACCGAATAAAATAATCCGAACAAAGTAAATAAAAGGTTCAAGAACCAAAGAGTGCGAAAACATAAGGAATTACTAATCCTGCGAGAAAGTTCAAGAAATGAAACTCTAAGATGGCTTCTCTCGGCAGAGTAACGGGTCTGTAAAAAGCTCGCAAGCCATTGCCAAGCTTTGCTCCAAACGGTTAACAAGCCACGAACGAAAGTTCTTTGTCGATGATACTTTCTCTTCGTTTCTCACCTTACTTTCTTTATATTCGTCCTCATTGTTATCTCGCTCTTCCAAAATAGCCTTCGCGCACACAAAATAATATCCTTCCTTGCTCATATCCACCTTTACTATCCTTTGGCACATTGCCCTCGTGTGATTGCATCGTTGCTCCCGGTTTTTCCTTCCACGCCTACTTCGTCCTCGTGCGTCCATTTTAGCAATGCGTTTGCGTATACGTCGACTATACATGTCTCTGTATCCAGCCGCGGATACAATGTGTGCGCGTCAAGAATACACTTCTATTGATCCAGCCGGTGGATGCGAGGGAGATACCAGAGAGAATTCTCTATACTTTTTCTGCCGTGGAAAACCGTTTCGCGTAGTTTCGCGTTTTTTTTTTTTCAATCCAAAACAAAGATTAAGTCAAACGATAATAGAGAATTGTCAAATGGACCGATTTTACTGGAGTAGAATAACACGAGAGGGTATCAGTTACAGTAGGGTAAACACTGATTAGAATACGCGTTAATACGTTTTTTCGTTATGTATTTTCCATACGCCTATACTAGATATATGTATTTACTAGACTCTTTTTGAAATTTCGTCCATTATTTCGAAGGATCTTTTAACGCGTTAAATGTCATATGATTGATATTCAAAAATGCTGCGTTTGGTCAAGAGGTTGCGTGAATTGACCGTAGGATTCTAGTTCTGAAAAAATATCTGAGCCCAAGGGTTGGCTTTTTTTTAACTTTGCACCGAACGTGTTAAAATTGAGAATGCGTGATAGCTTACTAAATTTGGAGTATTTAATCAGGTAGCTTCCGACTGGAGTTGCACGTCTTTCGTATAGGCAATGCGTGAGTGTGTGCATTTTGCAAGGACGAGTGACGTCACACAAGAAATTAGTAATTGCATATGAGTACGGATGATCAATTGGACCAGCATTTAATCTGGAAACCGCAGGAGAGACTCGTCGCTTTAAAATGTAACCAAGTCTGAAAGACCCTGACCCGCGCTAGCGCCAATTACCGTCCATAATTCCATGAAATCGCGACGTGCTAATGAAGTGAAGTCCATGAGGTTGAGAGGGAGGGACAGGGTGGCCTCGGGCAAGTCAGGGCCGGATGGGGTATCACGGCTTAAAGAATGAGAGGAGAAAGAGAGCGAGAGAGAGAGGGGAAAATTATAAGATGGGAGCGCGAGAGAGACAGAGCCAGAGCTAAGAAAGTTACGGAGTGGGGATGAGGGTTGACGCCGAGAGGGCTGGTGAGCGGAGAAGCCAGAGAAGTGGGGAGGGAGAAGGGCCGCCAAGGCGCGTCAGCAGATTCGGAGGAACACACGCCGAGGATCCCCGAAAAAGAGAGGCAGGCGTCGCGACGCCTCGGATCGATGCGCCGTCGGGGCTTCGGTGTGCGCGCTCACCCGGCTCCAACATGGACGCGGATTTGCGGGAGCGCGAGGAGCACCGGAGGGTTGGGTGCTTTTAAAGGAAAGAACGACATTGAGAAGGAGTATTGGAAAAAGATTTTATACAAAAAAAAAGCAAATAAAAATTAATGTTTGCTTTTTTTTCATTCTGATTGTTGGATTCATTGTAAAGGTCAGTTATGGCTAAATTGTCTTACCGTTTTGTTTCAGAATTCGAATCTCGGCCAAAGGCTGATGTGGGTCAGAATGAACGACTGGCACCGTGATTAGTGCAACCTTGAAATAAAATACGTAATTACGATTAATCGTCGTTTTTTAATGTTTTTTCACCCTTACCCACTTCCTTACCTCCGAGTTACTTTTTAACGACTTTTGGAAAATAATTGTCAAAAATTACTACTGGCTATGGATTATTTTCGGTCGTTCTACGACACAAATCACTATAATGGATGGAACGTATTTTAGGTCCACGTATTACGTTATATTTGTCTCTATTTTCTGTATTTGGTAAACCTGCACATCGCATATCTGTACCGAAGCTGAATTCCGCCATGTAGCAAAATCTTTCTCGTGTGAAATTTGAGTACGGTTGATGCGACTATCTGGAAAAGAAAAATAATAGAAAAATAAAGATACAAAAAGAGTTTTAAAAAGTTGCTCTTAGATAAACCTTAATAAACAATACATCCTTACCGACAACGATAGCAACGACGACGCGTCAACAGTAGCACGTGCTGGTCCATCTCGTCTGTGCAGTACGAAGTAACGAGAAAATATTCCAAAGATATTGAACTAAATTAAAAGTAATAATTAACCGTACAAGAGTATCGAAGGAAAGTGCATATAACGGGTACCATTGAACAATTCCTAGGTGAGTTTAACATATGCAAAATGATCCCACGAGGAAGTGAGAGGGAATAAGAAAAGGGATGAAAAGGGAGTAATGGGGTGTCGCCGGCAGTCGCGCATTTATAATTTCTCTCCAGCTCCCGCCCTCTATTCGAGCAGGGTGAAACAATTGCTTTTCCCGGCAGTAAAGAGAGAGAGAGAGAGAGAGAGAGAGAGAGAGAGAGAGAGAGAGAGAGAGTGAAACAACAAGAGATTGCGACTCAAAGAAAACGAGAGAAATAGAGAAAATAAAGTGAAAGAGAAAGACAAAAAATATAAAACGGTAGCCTGACTAAGCGGGCCGAAACTTGCGGGATGAGTTACTGCGGGGGCCTTAAGGATGATGTCGCTTTGTTCCTACTCGTTTCATTCTCTCTCTCTCTCTCTCTCTCTCTCTCTCTCTCTCTCGCTCACCACCCATCCGTTTTTTTTTTCTGGACCATCCATCCCAAAGGCTAAGATCCGCTGCCAGGAACGCACATTAATTTAATAAACCCGATGAGGAGTTATCGTGGCAATTTATATGGATTATCGATGGCGACTAACACGGAGGGTGGTGTAATGTCGCCGACATCCGTCAGTGGAATATACATCTCGACTTTTTTATCTTAATTCCTTCCTTCACGCCGTCCTTTCCACTCGGGGATTATATTCATATTAATGAGGATTAGCCTGGCTGGATGAGAACGCCGTAGACCGCGGTAAATTCGAATTTAACTTTTCGACAATTTTCAATATATTTCATTTCATGAAAATTCGTAACGAGACGAACCATCGATATGAAAAACGATACAGAAGTATCCATTTCACGTGTTCCAATTAAAATCCAATTAATCTCAAAGTGCAGTCGAGAAATTATGTACGTCGAAAAATAATTTGTTTTAAAAGTTTTTAACCGTCCCC